CCCATCAACATAAAACAATAGCTTGCAAGCTGAGCAAAGCCTTAGGTATGGGGCTCTTTTGTAGTGTTATTGTTTCCAGTGAAAGAGTGGATAAATGAAATGTTATTGAACAAATATAAGCATTGTGTCTGGTACACTCATAACAGACTCATAATAGTCATTAAGTAACATTGGAAAACATGATTTCATTGCAAAGCAGAATATCAGGTTAGGCAGTATGACCTCAGTTTGTTTACCAGGTACAAAAAAAAGGAAAGAAATAGACTAAAAGATTTATTGTTATGTCTAGATGGTGGCATTAAGGGTTATTTAATTGACTATTGTATTTTCTAGGTTATTGCTAAGTATTTTAGCTCCTGAATTGAAAAAAACAATTCATAGCATTTATTGACTCTCACTTTGTAGTTTTATTAAGTTTAGAGGTAGGAACTACAAATTTCTTGTTTTATAGGCATGTATCCCATATCTTCTAGGTTGCTAACGTTGCTTTTAAACACTTACAAAAATTTTATGAACAGATAAAGTCAAGGAAAATATTGCACAAAGAAAGAATTCTTTAAAAATCATTCTTCCTGAACCAATCTTCCAGAATTGGCTGGCCAAATCACCCCTTTAATCTTGTCTGCCTCTTAATACAACTTGCATTTAATGTTGCCAAACTAAGCATTTTAAAAGACAACGAAATCACTGCCAACTGAATATTATATACAATGTATTTATTCTTGTGAGAATTGTAGGTGTGCTCCAGTACGAACTCCGTGAAATGAAAAATAAAAATCTAAGATTTCTTGAGCACTGATCACCTGTCCGGCAGTGTTCTAGGTGCTTTGCTTGGATTAACCCACAACAGTCCTACATGAAGTAGGTACTATCACAAACGAGGAAATTGAGGCACAGAGATTAAGAAACTTGCTTAAGCCTTATACAACTAGGAGGGGTACAGCCAGAATCTGGCTCCAAAGTCCATGTTCTTAATTGATATTACAGATTAGAAAACTGAGGCGTGGAGAAGAACACCTGCCGAGGCCACAGTGCAGCTCTGTGGGAGGGCTCGTAGCCGCTCCCCTCCACCAGCACAGTTCCCTCTGGGCGCCAGGAGTGTGACATCAGGGGATCAGTCTGGACAGCAGTCTCTGCTAAGCCAGCAGTGTAGGAATTGCCGATACTAATTTGAGTTTCTATTCTACTCTCCCAGCTCATTAGGTACTTTACTCATAGATCAAGGAACTGAAGCAAAAAAACAGGAAACTGAATAAATCTCTACAACTAGTCTATTAGGCCAGACTGCAGTGAAACAAGGTTAATCCAGCACATGAACATTTGTCAATAACACCTGCCATCCAGAGCCCAGCACAAAGGGCTGGAACAAATATTTATGAAATGGGATTGTTGAAAAACAGGCACAAGTGTGGTATAAGACAGAAAACCTAAGGTCCTGGAGTCCGGAAGACACCCGGTGGTGTGAAGGATCAAGGTCTGTGGGAGTTTATATCCCTCCAGGGAGGTTAAGACCAACATGAATCCCCTGCCCACTGACTGTACATCACGTGGAATGTGACAGTCCATGACAGCCAAACCTCAGAGTGAGCAATGCCTCCAGACAACCATTGGGGTGTGACATCCTGAAGACCCAGCTTAATCCATTTGACAGCCTTCTCCATACTGCCAAAGAGGGAAGAAAAACCTCCTTATTCTCACAGTGAAGTTCAAGGAAAAAGCATCAAAGGAGCACTTGGTGGGAAGGGGCGAGGGGGGGGCAGCAGCGAGCATCAACTCACACGTGCACAGGAAGGCTGTCGGGAGTGCCATCATGGTTGTGGTCTGTGAGGTCAGTAATGGAGCTTACTGAGAGGACTACTTGTCCAATTGTGTAGACAATGGAAAGCGACACAATGGTCCTGTGTTTCCAAAGGTGAAGAGAATCCAAGTTAACCACACAATAGCCATCTACTTCCGACTCCACCGCAAGAGACCCCCTCCTCGAAAGCTTTCAAGAGCCCAATCCTGAATACACTTATTTCTTGAACTTGACTAACACTGGTAACTTTCAGGAGGGCATATGGGCAAAAAGAATGGAGCAAAATTTTGGGCTAGGCATGGTGGCTCATGCCTGTAATCCCAGCACTTTGGGAGGCTGAAGCAGGAGGACTGCTTGAGCTCGGGAGTTTGATACCAGCCTGGGCAACATAGCAAGACCCCATCTCCACAAAAAAATTAAAAATTAGCTGGGTGTGGTGGCGCATGCCTGTGGTCCCAGCTGCTTGGGAGGCTGAGGTGGGCGGATCAACTGAGTCCAGGAGTTTGAGGCTGCAGTGAGCCATGATTGTACCACTGCACTCCAGCCTGGGTGACAAAGCAAGACCCTGTTTCTTAAAAAAAAATTAACAAATTTTGGCTGGAGGGACAGGAGCAGGGAAAGACCCACTTTATCTTTCAAGCATTTGAAAGACTCAATGTTCTGTTTGACCTGTGGAATTCATATTTATATTTTTAAGCTGCGCTCTAGGCTGGTGCAGTGATGTGATCACTGCCTGTCACATGCAGCTCACTGCAGCCTTGACCTCCAGGGCTCAAGTGGATCCTCCCACCACAGCCTCCCAAACAGCTGGGGCCACAGCTATATGCCGCTATGCCTGGCTAATTTCTTTATTTTGGTAGAGATGGAGTCTCACCATATTGCCCAGGCTGGTCTCAAACTCTTGGGCTCAAATTATCCTCCTGCCTCAGCCTCCCAAAGTGCTGGGATTACAGGTATGAACCACACCACACCTGGCCTCTCCTGATTGGTAGTGATATTTGGCTAGGAAGTGGATCTTTGGTAATTTTTGTAGAATTCTTTGGAGGTAGTGACTATTCTTTCTTCTGCCCCTGCTACCGTTTAGATGTCTGTCTCCTGCAAACCTCAAGTTGAAATGTGGTCCCCAGGGTTGGAAGCAGGGAGTGGTGGGAGGAGTTTGGGACACTGGGACAGATCCCTCATGAATGGCTTGTGCTGTCCTCAGGGTCATGAGTGAATTCCTGTAAGAGCTGGTTGTTGAAAAGAGCCTGGCACTTCCCTCCTCTCTCTCTCTCGTTTCCCCTCTGGCCATGTGATTTCTGCACACACCAGCTCTCCTTCACCTTCCTCCATGAATGGAAGCAGCTTGAGGCTTTCACCAGATGCTTGGTCTTCCAGCCAAATAAACCTTTTTCCTTGATAAATTCCCCAGCCACGGGTATTCCTTTGCAGCTACACAAGGGGACTGAGACAGCCATGTCATTCCTTTGGCCTGGAAGAGCCTCTACTGCCTTCTTCCTTAAGTCCCAGGAAACCTTGCCTGACAGCCTCCCACTGGGCGTGCTTGTGGAGCCCTTGCTGGAAGGCTGGGTGACTTCTCTCCTTGGTGACCTCACACCGTGTGATCTGACGCAGTGCAAGCCCCTCAGCAGCCTGGAGGTATGTTAGAGAGTCCCTTCATTTCCCCAGCCCTGAACTCCATGCCTCACACATCACTGATGATAGACAGTATCCCTGCTACTACGTCAAGATGAGACAAAGATGTTATGTTTGTTTGGACTGGGGAAAAAACAAACCTATAGATGCTGTTTGCAGTCGCTAAATGTCAGGCACTGTGGTAGGCTCTAGGGACAGAAGATTGGGCAGAAACAGAGCTGTGAATGCTCTTCTAAGGGTTTGCTTTTGTTTTTTTTTTTTAATTTATTTTTGGGACAGGGTCTTGCTCTGTCATCCAGGCTGAAATGCAGTAATATGATCACGGCTCACTGTAACCTTGACCTCCAGGGTTCACCTCAGCCTCCCAAATAGCTGGGGCCACAGGTGTATGCCATCACGTCTGGCTAATTTCTTTATTTTTGGCAGAGATGGGGTCTCACTATGTTGCCCAGGCTGGTCTCAAACTCCTTGGCTCAAATTATCCTCCCGTCTCAGCCTCCCCAAGAGCTGGGATTACAGGTATGACCCACACCACACCTGGCTTCTCCTCAGAGTTGATTCATCATTCCAAAATTCCACCCTCCCCAACCACAAAACCTACATTTACTTTTTGGCTTGTCTGTGAACAAGAAATTTGCAGCCACTCACTTGAATTTTCCCAGCCATGAGTCGGCGATGAGAGCTCCGAGAATTGGCGTCAGGTAGCACAGAGCCACAAACGTATGGTAGATGGCGGTGGACAGGTTGTCATCCCAGCGAATGAAATTTGTGAAGTACAGAATCAGGAGTGCTTTTGCAGAGGGCAGGTGGAAGAGGAGGGGGAAACAAAGTGAGGTCTGGTTACGGCCACTCCTGCTCTTCCCCAAAGGGTGAGAAGCAGCCAATACAGTTACCTCGCATTCCATAGTAGGAAAATCTTTCGCAGAACTCGTTGACCACGATGAAGAAGATGCTCAGGGGATAACCAAGGCAACTCTGACAAAAAAGAAACAAGCACAGGATTGAAATACACCCCTCACTGGTCCGTAGCCACAAAGGAGCACCAATGGCATGAAAAGCAGCCAGTACAGATTCAGTAACTTACTGGTGACTAGAGCAGGAAACTAGAATTCAATCATTTTATTATCTACACTAATGTTTCCACAGAGATAGCAATGAAATAAGCATCTAGTGGTATTGTTAGTCTGAGGAGGATTATCCGCAGTATTTCCTTGGGAGAGGACATCCCACATGGAAACCCAGGATCCCACCCTCACTGGTTCTAGATGCACACTACAGATCTGTTAGGTGAATGAACCCTTAGAGGTAAATCAGATGATGAAATTCACAAGCTGAAGATACATAGAGAAGGAAAAAGGGTACTCACCCATGACTTGGACATTCCTAAAAGAAAAGCAGAATCCCAATATTAAAGTCAAGCCGTTACAACACTTTTTGCTGTGTCTAAACTCAGAGCCTCTGACTTTTTAGGGTGGTCGGAGGGGCCATTCACCAAACAGCCCCAGCCTCCCTGGGACCCCAGCCCGAGACTCGTGTTTCTTATCAGAAGCAGGGCTTGGCATCTGTATTTTCCTTTGAGAAGCTCCCCGGGCAATTCTCATGTGCAGTCAAAATGCAGAAGCAGCAGCTCAGAGAATCAGGCCCAAACCATTTCCTCCTGAAACACTTCAAAGGCTGCCCGTGGGAAAGAATCCACACACTCTAGCATGTTCGTCACTGTCTCACAGGTGATGGTGGGGATTACATTCCTGCAATATAAAATGCTTCTGAGTGCCTGACACACTGTGCACACTCAGCCGCCGCCTCCTGCCTGCCTGCTGGGCTCACCCCATGATTTAAGTCTTGCCACTGATATTCCCTTCCTGAATGATCTCTGATGTCCCTACGTCATCACACTGTAGTGATGGGCAGTTTAAATTTTTGCTTCCCTTCTGGACCAGGTTCTGTCAGTGGATGGATCGTGCACTATCCATCACACCAACATCCCCACTTCCACCGACCTGCACAATACCTCCCGCTCGTAGGGGCTTATGTCGGGGGGATGGGTGAGAAGAGCAGGAAGAACCAGCCTGAGAATACAAGGGAGCCGGTGCACGTGAAGTCCAGCGGACCCTCCCATCTGCTTCCCAGGAGTGCCTCATCCCCACCCCGTCAGCCCCTGCTCTTCTGTCTCCCGGAATTTTGACAAGAGCTGAGCTGTGCCCTTGTCTCTCACTCTGCTCCTGCACAAACACACTGCCCTGTGCTCATCCGTGTCTATCACACATTAGGCTGTTTCCCACAGGGCATCTATCCCTTTCCCCCTTACCCGTCCCTATTTCCTTATGTTAGGGTTGTTTCTTTCAGGGCTCCCTGAACATGCTCCACCTCTATTAGGAATCTAGGAATTGGTGACCCCATAGCAGTGGGTCTCACAGTGGAGTGTGCCTCAGAGTCACCGGAGGGCTTGCGAGAACAGATAGCTGGGCTCCACTCCCAGAGTTGTTGATTCTGTAGGCCTGAGATGGACACTTGAGCTTGCATTTCTAACAAGCTCCCAGATGTGGGAGCTGCCACTGGTCAAGGCAGTGCGCTTTGGAAATCACTACACTAGAAAATTAATCTTTAGACTGTTCTTTTCCCAGTGTTTGTTCTTTGTAAAAAATGAGTTGGCTATAAATGCATGCATTTATTCCTGGGTTCTCTTTTCTGTCTTACTGGTTTATGTGTCTGTTTTTATGCCAGTACCATGCTGATTTGGTTCCTAGAGCTTTGTAATATATTTTGACATCAGGTGGTACCTCCAGCCCTATTTGTTTTTTTGCTCAGGATGACTTTGGCTTTTTGAGGCCTTTTATGGTTGTAGATGAATTTTGGGATTTTTTTTTTCCTATTTCTATGAAGATTGTCATGGGATCTTTTCATTTGCAGTAACACAGATGAAACCGGAGGACATCAGGTTAAGTGAAATAAGCCACAGAAAGATAGGTATCACATGATTTCACTCATATATGGGAGCTAAAAAAGTTGATCTCATGGAGGCAGTGAGTAGAATGGTGGTTACAAGAGGACGGCAAGGGTAGGGGAAGAGGGGAGGATGAAGCAAGGTTTGTGGATACAAAAACACAGTCCTGTAGAGGGCATAAGAGCTCGTGTTTGGTAGCACAAGAGGGTGACTATGATGAACAATTTATTGTATATTTCAGAATAGAGGCTGGGCATGGTGGCTCACACCTGTAATCCCAGCACTTTGGGAGGCTGAGGTGGGCGGATCACTTGAGGTCAGGAGTTCAAGACCAGCCTGACCAACATGGTGAAAACCCATCTGTACTAAAAATACAAAAATTAGCTGGGCGTGGTGGTGAGTGCCTGTAATTCCAGTTACTTGGGAGGCTGAGGCAGAAGAATCACTAGAATCCAGGAGGCAGAGGCTGCAATGAGCCAAGATCACACCACTGCATTCCAGCCTAGGCCACAGAGTGAGACTCCATCAAAAAAAACAAAAAACAAAAAGCAAACAAAATAGAAGATCTGGAATGTTCCCAACACAAAGAAATGATCAAGGTTTGAGGCGATGGATGTTCCGCATATCCCGATTTGATCACTACACATTGTATGCCTCTATCAAAATATCACATGTATCCCATAAATATGTATAATTATTATGTATCCATAACAACTTTTAAATCCTTAAAACCCTACGGCAACCCCCATGTGTTGCAAATTGCAGCAGAGTTGCCTATACGAAAAGCAGCTCAACTGGAAGTCAGTGCCGGCCACGGGGGCTGGCGTTAGAGAAGGCAGACTTCTCTGCACCTGAGGTTTGCATCTCTAACAAGAGTCAAGGTGACGTCAATGCCGCTGGTCCGGATGCTGCACTTGGAGGACCACATGCAGGCTGTGATGTCCTGCTGCCTGATGGTTCTATATAAGCGAGTTTTATCACTTCCCTGGCTCCAAGCACCAGAAAGACCATGCCAGGTATCCAATACAGGAGCCTTACAGCACGCTGAAGCCTCCACCACAGGGCCCACCTCCATCTCCCACACCGTTTCCCTCTGGGGACCTTCCTTGCAGATTTACTGCCTTGTCTTTTCATTATGTGCAAGTTCAAAGCCCTATCCCACAACAAACGAAGCCACAACCCTGGCAGAGGAACTCCCTTCCTGACCCTGACCACAGGGCCCTCCAGGCCTCACCACCTCTTCCTGGGCAGGTGCCTTCCCTCCTGATCCCCTCAGCCTGTGCTGGGGTTATTTCCATTCCTGCAGCTCAGCGTGGCCCCAGTGACTCCTACCAGATGGTCTTGCACTTTTGCCCATTTAAGAGCATTTTAGGGCCGGGTGTGGTAACTCACACCTCCATCTGAGGTGGGTGGATCACTTGAGGCCAGAAGTTCAAGACCAGCCTGGCCAACGTGGTGAAACCCCGCCTCTACTAAAATTAACAAAAATTAGCTGGGCGTGGTGGCGGCCACCTGTAATCCCAGCTACTCTGGAGGCTGAGGCAGGAGAATCCCTTGAGCTTGGGAGGTGGAGGTTGCAGTGAGCTGAGATCCCACCACTGCACTCCAGCCTGGACAACAGGGTGAGACACTGTCTCAAAAGAAAAAAAAGAAAGAAAGAGCATTTTGGATGCTATTTTAGTCCTTGTCCTAAGGGGGCATTCACTGTCCTGGTTTCTCGGGACCCCACTCCTAACTCCCCGCCTGTTACGAGTTCTGGACAGAGATTCCTCCACACAAATAACCCGGTTTCGTCCCAAGACAGAGCTGCCGTGGGATGGGGCCGCTTCCCGGGCAGTACGCCAAGAGTGAGGCCGCGGAGTCAGCCCTGCGGCCGCGTCCCACACTGACACCTGTGGGCTGCCTGGCGGCCGAGCCCATCTGCTCCGGGGTGGCCCAACAATCCAGCAAGGCCGACCTCCACCCTGCAGGGTTGCTGGAAGAGTCCTGCGAACCGCGCGGCGCTCAGGGCCTCCCTAAGGGGAGATAGACCTCCTCCGAGTCCTCAGGCCCCTGCGCCGCTTCCCGCAGAGCGGAAACTGTTTGTGGAACGAGCTTCCCAAGACCCCGCTTATCCGTCACCGAGCCCCGCGCTCAGGTCAGCTCTGCCCTGTGGGCCGCTCCGGGGCTGACCCCCGGGGATCGCATCCAGGTCCCGGGCCCCAGCCTGTCTTCCATTGGGTTTGGGCCACAGGGGAGATGAGAGGGAAGAAAAAACGCTGGGGTATTTGTTTTTCTGGCTTCCTCCCTGCAAGGTCCCCTCAGATCATCACCTCAAGTGACAGTCACGGCTTCTCCGACGTCTCCCTTCCCACCTGACTCTCTCCTTGCAGGTTTCGGAGCGGTTCCTCCCCCTCATCTTGCAGGCCCAGGGGCGGCGGGCAGGCTGCTGCAGGCCCAGGGTCCACGCTGCCCTGTGTGGCCCGTCCCCGCGGCGTCTTTCTGTGCCCGAGCCCTCCCGTGCGGAGCGTGGCTCCCGTGTCCTGGGAGGGTCGTGGTGACGCACTGCACCTGCTGTGGACTTGGGCCGCCGTTCACACCGCGCAGGGAAAGCGCCAGGCTCCAGGGAATAGGAAGGGCTGGTCGGGCAAGTGTGCGTTTTGCAAGCTCGGTGCAAATCAGGCTGTGGGTGCAAAAGCGTCACTGCTGCACGGTGTGTGTGTGTGTGTGCGTGTGTGCGTGCAGTGTGTGTGTGCGCGCGCGCGGTGTGTGTGTGTGTGCGGTGTGTGTGTGTGTGTGTGTGTGTTTGTTTTTGAGATGGAGTTTCACTCGTCTGGCTGGACTGCAATGGCGCGATCTCAGCTCACTGCAAACTCTGTCTCCCAGGTTCAAGCGATTCCCCTGCCTCAGCATCCCGAGTAGCTGGGTTTACAGGCACCCGGGGCTGCTCGTTCTTGAGGACATGGCAATACCACGTTATGCTTCGCCTGCTTAGCCTTTGGGTAATATGGCCTTACCATTGCCTCCCAAAGCCAACGACAGGTGAGGAGCCACACAAAGGCCTGTCTTATCCCTGGCCCCCTTCAGGAAAGCAGGAGTGAGCACTGAAAACCCAAACCCAGCAGAGAGAGCTCTGGCTTCATGGCAACCCTTTCCTGTGTTCCCCGAAGCTTTATTTACAGGGAAAGACTTCATCTTTCCAGAGTTGTTCTTCTGTCTTTGCTAAATATTTTGTACCTGTTATTTGCTTCATAATAGCGGTAAAACTTTTGTCTACTTCACATGTACTAGTTACAGAAAAGTGGCCATTCAGAAAGCTTAGGTCTTGACAATCATCGCACGGGGAACTAAATTATGGAAAAGGAAATCCCTTAAAGTGCAGATCTGAGACTTAGTACCCAGCCATCACCGAGAAGGCATTTTGTTTTCTGAAAGCGTGTATTCCTAGAACTGCATTTATTATTACAGGGCAGAGGTTGCTAAACGCTTCTTTTACAGAATCAAGAGCTATCTACTGGGCGTAACACTGCAGTCAGCATTCCTTATCTTAATAGGCCTGTGTCAACAGGATTGCTATCTTAGAAAGCTCAAGTGCAGAACTGGTGTTTACATCGGGACTTAAGACTGAACACAAGCATCAACTATCACAAGTTCTGTTTATTTTGGTGCATTCGTGTTTATGTTGGTTCCCTGCTAGAAAACCTCAGAGGCATATTCGAGTAGCCAAGTGTTTCTATGTCGCTCTGGAGTGCCTTGTGTGAACTACTGACTAGAGCCAAAACCAGCTTCGAATCTGGACTTCCTATCGGACTAGCTCCCTTAGCACCGATACATTGTCAGCACTGAATAAATGCAGGCTCTTCTTGCTGTTCTAGACCCAGCAGTGGTTTTGCTTTTCTTTTGGCTAAAGATTTTAATGAAATAAGTGTATATTATACATTTATATGATTATTGACTTGGGCGCTGAGGGGAACAGGGAACACAGGAGAAAACAAGAGACTCCCCTCTCCCCCACTACTCAATGAACTCTCCCATTCATGTGAATATTTCCTACTATTTATATAAAGCATGCTCCATATTTTGAACCATTTCGGGATGGAAACTCTGACTTTGATGTTTTATTACCTAGAAATTAATAACTCTGTCAGCAACTGACAGACTGCAGAGAACGCACTTCCAGGAGTTGGACTTCGGAAGTCAAAAGGAACAAGGCTTTTTGCTGAGGTCTAAGAGAGAAGCCCTCACTTTCAGGCGGAGAGATAACTGTTTTCTTTTGTGACCAAGAGTGAAAATGAGGGAATACTGTAAGCTTCAGCTCCTGTGTTGAGGATGTGTTTCTGAAATTGCAAGGTGTGGTGGTCAGAACAGTGGGCCCTTGGTGATGTCCCTACCATAACTGCTGGGATTCAGGGATATGTTCCCTCCTATGGCCAAAGGGTTTTGCAGATATGATTGAATTAGGGGCCTTGGGATGAAGAGTTTAACTTGGATTATCCAGGTGGACCCAGTACAATCACAAGTGTCCTAAAAAGTCAGAAAAGGTGAAAGCAGGGGAGTGACCACAATTGTTGCAGGGTGGGTCCCGAAGTCAGGGAAGGCGGTGGCCTGGAGAAGCTGGAAATGGCAAGGATACTGGTTCTCCCTGAGAGCCTTTTGATGCAGCCCTGCCAATACCTTGATTTTAGCCCAGTCAAATTCACTGTGGACTTCCGACCTCCAGAACTATAAGAAGGCACTGTGTACGCCACTAAGCTGTGGGGCTTTGCTATAGCGGGAATTAGAAACTAATACACATGGGTTTGCCCCAAACTCTGTATATACAGGTCTTTAGTCACTCCTTACATATAACTAAGACTCACATTTCCTGCCATGTTTTGTTTGTTGGTGAAATGCTCTTTATATTAATTTTTTCCTAAACTACATTGTTCTCCTTGGAGCTTAGCCGTGCATACCCGGCACCTGCCTTTTAAATTGGATTTGGCAGAATCTAAGCTCTGGGGCTTGCTCTGGAAATGCTTTCATAAGCCAGGAGTAAAGGGGTCAAATTGACAAAGTTGGTCCCACAAGAGGACCCAGGAAGGTAACGGCCTTGCTAATGGCAAAAGCGGCTTTTCAGTTAAGGAGAGAACGTTCTCAATATTGCCCCTGTGTCTAGCCAATGGAAGGATGTGGGCTTTTGGAATCAAGAGCTTGAACCTCAGTGTAGAGACATTCCTTCTGGCCCTGCAGCCTTGATCAAGGTGCTTAACCTCTGGACTTCCATTTCTTCATCTACGATATAGTTTGCCTGTATGTCCCCACCAAAATATCATATTGAAATGTAATCCCCAGTGCTGGAGGTGGGGCCTGGTGGGAGGTGATGGCATCATGGGGGGGGAGCTTTAGCACCAGCTCTCTTGGTCCTTGCCACAGCAAGTGAGTTCTTGTGAGATCTGGTTATTTTATGAGATGGAGTGTCACTCTGTCACCCAGGCTACAGCGGAGTGGTGTGATCTCAGCTCACTGCAAACTCCACCTCCTGGGTTCAAGCAATTCTCCTGTATCAGCCTCCCGAGTAGCTGGGATTACAGGCACGCAACACCATGCCTGGCTAATTTTCGTATTTTTAGTAGAAACAGGGTTTCACCCTGTTAACTAGGCTGGTCTCAAACTCCTGACCTCAAGTGAGCCACCTAACTCGGCCTCCCAAAGTGCTGGGATTACAGGCATGAGCCACTGCGCCTGGCCTTCGATCTGGTCATTTTAAAGTATGTAGCATCTTCCCCTCACTCTCTCTTGCTCCTGCTATTGCCATATGACATGCCCGCTCCCTCTTCACCTTCTGCCATATTTGAAGCTTCCAGATGCCTCCTCAGAAGCAGATACTGCCATGCTTCCTGTACAGCCTGCAGAACTGTGAGCCAATTATATCTCTTTTCTTTATCAATTACCTAGGTGTTTCCTTGTAGCACTACAAGAATGCCCTAACACAGAAAAATGGTACTGAGGAATGGGGCATTGCCATAAAGATACCTGGGAATGTAGAAGGAGCTTTGGAACGGGTATAGGTCAGAAGAGTGTAGAGGGCTCAGAAGAAGACAGGAAGATGAGGGAAAGTTTGGAACTTCTTAGAAACAGGATAAATGGTTGTGACCAAAATGCAAATAGTGACATGACCATGAAGGTCAGGCTGAAGAGGTCTCAGATGGAAATGAAGAACTTATTGGGAACTAGATCAAAGGTCACTTTTGTTACATCTTAGCAAAGAACTTGGCTGCATTGTGTCCATGGCCTAGGAATCTCTGGAAGTTTAAACTTGAAAGTGATGACCTATTGAGGAATTGTATCAAGGAAAACTGAATCCACAAGGGGTGTGGTTTCCAAGGCAGAAATTTCCCACAACATGCCCGACAGGGCTTCATCCACATCCCCATCCGGGAACTTAGAGTTCT